TCTGGCTCCTCTTTGAGTTTTATTAAACTGGCCCACCTAAAGATTCCAATTTGCTGCCATTTGAGAGATAAAGAAGCTGCTTTTGCATTTGTTTTGTATCTGTATCTGCCTGACGTTTTCATATTTTTGTAAAATAAATATTCCAGTGTGTAATACTGGGTGGTAAAATGGACTTCTGTGATGAGAGAGAGAACAAGATGCTTCCCTTAATCTCAAACTGTATTTGTTTTATTACAGTCGTCAAACATTTAAAGTGCTAAAACCAAATGGTTTGCAACCACTCAGCAAGGGAGGATTTAAAGAGCCCCTATTATGCATTATAAAAGGTCATATTTTGGTTTTGGGGGTCTCCAACAACAGGCTGAAATGCATGCAAGGTAAAAAAAAAAAGCACTTTTATTGTCATTTAATATGCATTTAATTTTACCTAATTATCTCAGCAACTCTCAGATGATTCGTTCAGCGATACATTTGTTCTCAAACCCCTTCGTAGAGCGATTTCAATCTGTGCTCAGGGCCGGAGTGGGACTCCTTTTCAGTTTTGGAGTTTCAAGCCTTAGACCGACCCACCTTAGTTCACGACTGACTATTAAAATAATGTCTTTCCAATTCAGTTTCTAATGACACTATCACGTCTTTTTCAAGGAAACAGCTGCTTTAGAACTTTAAATGTTTTTCATAAATATGAAAACATTAAAAGGTAGCTAAATTTCCAACACTATTCTTTAAAACATCACAACGTCCTTTCCTGCAATATCTGAATATATATTCTGTGCTAAATTCTTTATGGATATCCAGTCCTTTGTAACGGTGGTCACACACACACACACAAAAAAAATGAAATATGTACACCTACATAAGTAACCCAATCAGTACTATATGTCTTAACACTAAAAATAATAATAAATAAATTAGGAGAGATTTGAACTTGAGTCGGCAACGTTTTAATGTAACGCGCTGACCACTTTAAAAACTGAATAAATATAGATTTACACACATTTAAACAAGTAAATAAACAGAATCAATGATGGGCAAAGAATCTGTGGAATTCTGGGCACATAGATTCTGTAGGCCTAGTCATGTTGTCAGTATAACAGTGTACTCTGGAGGGGTGTTCTAATGTGAACTGTGGCTAATTTATTTATTTATTTGCTGTTTTTACTGTAATTTGTTGCCAGATCATGTCATTGTGATACAGAAAGGAAAAGACCAAAACAAAAGTAGAAAAGTGAACATAGGACAATCTCCTTTCAGATGCACCTCACCTTCATTAGACAAAGTCACGATTGACCTGGGAATAGTTTACAAATGATAGATTTAGAAAAAAAGTCGAATGGAAATGTATAGAAAAATGTATTATGGCTAAATATTATGACAACTTGTTCAACTTCTTTTACACACATATATATATATATAACTTGACAAACTTTTTTTCCTCACTACCCACAAGTGAAAATTCTGTTGTTTGAAAATTTTATATACGTCAATTTGACTTTTGCATGGTAAAAGTACTTGAGTAAGAGACATTTTACTTGATTTGGGTCATTAAATAACTGACTACCAATATTATGATATAGGTAGCCTATATCTGCTGTATTTAACCTAAAACCTAACAGTACTTTGACAAAAAAATAATAATAATACCCATTCTTGTCTTAGGACATTTTTATTAAGCAAATGTTTGAATAACAGTAAGTTCATGACATGTTAAATATATAGTATATTCTGCTGGATTTTGACTAATCAAGGTACTAATTGTTGACTAATGAAGGTACATTTATAACAACTATTTATTTGTTAGACTACTTTATTTTCAAACCATGTTGCATACAAATACATTCAACAGACTTATATGACAGTGTATTGCTGTAGAGGACAAATAAAACACGAGACAGGTGTTTAGAAAGAGTATAGTTTATTTTGTTTGGCCGGCAAACTTATCTAAACAAGATAAACTTTCAGAAAACAGCACGGAAACATTATAATGTGCGCGCTCGTGAATAAAACCCGCGGTTGTCTTCAACGGTTATCTTCTATAGTCCTTCTCTGCTCAACAGCTCTGCTAAAAAACAAAGCAAAACGTTACAACAGTCAGACATAGAGCAAAGAGCAGACTGACCAAGCGGTAATAGCTGGGCGCTGCTGATGCAATGGAACGTTCTATTGAGAGCGCCTCTTGGTCATTCTAAGCTCTTTGCATAGAGTTTAAACAGTTACTATGGTTTCTATTTTAAACTATAGTAAACTAAAGTTTGAAACTATAGTTTAAAATAGACGATGAGTGGGCCTCGCTGCTCCCACCCACCATAACCCTCGCAGCGAGGTCCCACTACCGGCCTCCCGTATTTCCCTGAGGGTCCTCAGGGCTTGTTTGTTCCCTGCCTAGGGCTCAAAAGGCGCCTCGCCCCAGGGAGTGGACGAGAAAACCGGGCGCCAGGCCGTGCCAGTGTTCACCGGATGTTGCTCGGCGGCACATTTCGAGCAACAAACACGTAATATTCTTTGCGATATTGCGTTTATGTACGCAAACCGCAAGGAACTACAGCACAGACGGGCCCGAATGAAGCTTCACGAAGCGGACTTCGTGAGATTGGCGTGGCTCCACTCGTACAGTCCGTCAGTATTGAACTTACCTTGGTCAAATACAAACAGCAACACCGAGCGAACTGACAACGCAGAGAGAACCGACGAGCTTTATAGGAATCCAGATGCAAATTTTGCGACGTCACTGCTGTGAGTCTCGTTGTCATGGTGAGCATTGAGGAGAGCACATCTCATTGGAGCACAAAGGCTCCGGAATCTACGTCACGGCGAGTTGATGTCGGCAGCGGCTGTGGACAAAAACATGGAATATGGAGACAGATGAATATATGTAACGACAGATGCGGGACATTAAAACAGAAAGTGAGCCCGGCTAAGACAACAACACACTACTCTGACCATCTCCTAGTGGTGGTAAGCTTCTTATTATCCAAGCGCTCCATCTAGCGATCACATAACCTAATAGCACTTTACTTTCTATTAACCACCCCCACGGCCAAAGGGCCCAGCATTTGTCCTTTTAATTATTTTATGTAGTTTAATATTGTATAATATATTTATTATATAATTAATATAATATATTTATATTCAATATATATTCCCCTCACGTCTGTGTTTATGAGGCTGTTTGGTCACTTCATTCGTTTTATTCTGATCAGATATCCGATCGCTCAAACCATTTCAGAAAGTGATCTGGGGTGCATTCCAGATGAAACTGGAAAGGTATAATCATTTTTAGACCAAATTTTTATAAATGAATTTAATGATGAGCTGGAGAAAATCTGACCTGCGCCTGAAACACCTGTAGGTGCGCTTTTACAGCCACAATTCAATTAAAACACGTTTACTATATAGGCATAAACTTGTTCTAACCTTTCAGGCCTGTAGCGGTCTGTATTTTGGAAGACCCCCCCCCTCACTGACAAAGGTCCAGAATTTGTCTCATATATGAGCTCATTTTGTCCTATTTTGACTGCTATGCCATCATAAGTAATGAAAATAATCCATCAAAAAAGGCTTTAAAACCAAACGGAGTCCTCTGTCGGCTGTTGCTTCTGTGGGACTATAATCTGGTGTGAGAGAAGTCTTTCACTACTGTATTGTTTTTAAAAAAAGAAAACATTTCACAGCTAACTTTTATTCTAAATATTGGACCTTATTCCTGAAATAAAAATGAGTAATAAAAAGATGTGAAGCAGCAGAAGTGGAACATATTAAATTCATTTCAATATATTTTGGCTATTGTTGATATCCAGGGATTCTCAAATGTACTTTTTTTTTTACCAAAGAGACCAGAAAAATTCTGAAGAATTCAATATTATTGTTTTGATATTATTATTATTATTATTTCTTTTTTATTTTAATTTCAATTTTAACTTTTTATTATATTTTTTTATTCAAATGGCCTAATTGCAAATCAGGACAGTTGAATGTGCTTTCCAGTTTGTTTTCTGTCTAATAAATGACAGTAGGCTACATTTTTTTTTACTGTAAAACTTTAACAGCTTGCTATCTTTTTCCTAATGTTATATGATGTAATAAATTTGTATTTTAAAAATTAGTCTTGATTTTTTTTTTTTTATTGCAATTATTTAGGAAATATTTTTAGTACATCAAAAAGTGTGTTTATGATGACATCTGACTAGCTAATCCAGCAAAAAACAAAAAGAAAAACCTAAAATGCAGTATTTAAATCTCATAGTTAAATAGAAACTGAGATGTATAACTGCAAAAAGGTAGTGACCTATTTCTATTTAAAAGTGAGTGAAATTAGGTTTTCTTCACTGCCCATTTACATTTATGAATAAAAAATATTTCATATATAATAAGCAAAATAACAATATGCCTAATTTTGAAGTCGACGGTATTCTCATAAATAACCCCATCTTTTTCTTTGAATTACAATGCAATATTTGTACTCTGCTTAACAAAAAAGAAAAGATCACACCAAAACAATTGTGTGTAAATACAATCATAAAATAAATGAACAATACTTTCTTCTTTATCGTTACAGAAAGCACATTTTAAATAAATATCTTTACAAAATCTTGCAATTACCTGTTTTACAGGATAAATACGATGAACAATTTTAAAACAAAAAATACCAAAGCAAAAAGAACTGTTAATTATTTTAAAGCCTTAAATTTTGTTTTTTTAATAATTGTATTTTTTATTCTTATATATTGTATTTGATTGGATGTTAATATAATGTTGTTATTGCCCTTGTATGGTCTGTGTTATAAAATTGCAATAAAAAAGTGCAAAAAGGTCCACTTTGAGGAAAAAAGAACCACCCCTTTAACCAGGCTGGCTACGGGCCTTGTATTATATTTAAATATAAAATGTTTCTTACTGTAAGTGGTCTTTGTTTCTGAGTGTCTCAATTGTTTTAACGATTCTACGTAGTAAATTTTATTTAAACCAATAAACAAATACAAAAATATACAGGCGTGTGTAGTTTGCCAGCAAATCCGATAAGCTGCTGCAGCGCCCTCTAGTGTTCATACTGAGCGTGTGGCGCCGCTGTGGAACCGCTAGATGGCGATTCTTCAGAAACACTCACTGCACACTGGAGCCTCCGCCAGCACCACAGACATGTAAACAAAAGGCAGATTTCATAGGTTTTAGCCTACGGGTTTTAGGCAAAATCTGCAGAAATGGGCAAGCGAGATAACAGAGTGGTAAGTAAAGTCGGTTTAGAAAATCGTGTATTTCCAATTTTCCAGACAAACGTTGACGAGGCCGTTAAGCCGCAAATGCTAACGCGTCATCAACAATAGCATTACACATTAGCCACGTCCACACACTGAATGAACGAACAAGCCAATTTAGATAAACTATAAATTGTGGCTTATGTTTGCAGACTGGCACAGTTTGTGGTATATTTAGCTTATATAGACAACGACGTTAACCACACTAACATGCTTAACCATGCTAACTCAGCTAACACATTCAAATTAAGGCACTACAGGTAAATAACTTACTCGGGAAAATAAAATAAACCAATAGTTATCAGCGTACGTCGCACATTTATTGATTACTTTAAGAATTGAAAACACATTTATTGTTTAACAAATGTTTTAAATGCTATGTTGAATTGAATAAGTGCTCATTTGCATACATTTGTAGTCACATTGAGTATTTTTGATTAATTATTAGACACATTGGAGTCAAAGGTTTTTGCAATCAGAATAAGTTAGATTTTTTGATAATTTAGAAAATAGACGGAATAAAAATTGCAGAGATTTTCTGTGAAAAAAAAACCTTTAGAGATCACAGATAAGAAATAAAAGGCTTAAATGAAATGGAGATTTCTGACACTGTTCAAGAGAATTGAAAAAGCTTTAAAATATTTAAGTTAAATCTGTAGACACAAATTTGTAAAATGTTACAAAAGGAACCTAAATATATAGGAATAACCATGTTAATAAAGGCTTTTTAATATTTTGCCTTGGATTTATTTCTGCTGTTTATTCTGATGAATCCCTTACCCAAAGAGCACCGACACATTATTTAAGCTAGCCCTGAGCACTTTTAGTTTGATTTTAAGCTTAAAGTGATATATTTGGATGTTTTCTATCCATTAAAACATTTTATAAAAAGACTTAAATGTAAAAACTGAAGGTACATGAAAAAGTTTTTGCAGATTAATGTTTTACAGATGTTTTGCTGATCTTTTATTGTTCTTCTGAGCAGATGAAAATGAAAAAGTAATGCTTTACTAGTTTAGTAAAACTTTCATCTGAAGTTAAATTTCATTCATTTTCCATTTTCCCTTTATTCATCAGGGGTCACCTAGCGAAATGAACCGCCAACTTATTTAGCATATGTTTTACACAGCGGATGCCCTGCCAACTGCAACCCAGTACTGGGAAACATCCTTACACACTCATTCACGCTTATATACACTACGACCAATTTAGTTTATTCAATTCACCTATAGCACATGCAGAGTTCAACGCTAAGGATTTTTCTGCTGGCCCAGTTAGGCCAGCGGTTCAGATTTGTACTTGCCCTGCCAATATTTTCACTGGCCCCACCTAAAAAAAAAAAAAAAAAAGGAAAAGTTAGAAGCTATTTCTTTGCCACATGTTTTAAATATTGTGTCAAAAATGTGTTATAGAATTTAAATATTTTTAATATGTTAATAAATGTATAATGAGCAAATGGTCGCACTGTACCCACGTAAATGTCTGCTTCCAAGACATTCTTTTAGCCTTGTTATTTGAGGTTGCTGTCACTTTGCTGGTATTTACCAGATAAAAAAAATAAATAAAAGACATGCTAACAACATGAAATCCGATAAGAGGAACCCAAAAGCAATATGGTGTTTACGGCATCATAGAGAATGTAGCATTTAAAGGCTTAAAAGCACAAACTGTTCTCGATTCTTAGACTGTATTCATACGCAGTTGACAAATAGTCGCAGGCAAATTGAACTTGCGACAAGGCAGCACAGATCGGGCCAGTAACAATCCTGTCTACTGTCCAGAGAGTCTCGCACGCTGGCCCCGGGCCATCGGGCAGTCCTTATTGTTGAGCCCTGACATGTCTTTGGACTGTGGGTGAAACCATAGCACCAGGAGGAAACCCATGTGGACATGGGGGGAACATGCAAGGTCCACACAGAAATGCCAACTGGCCCAGCCAGGACTCAAACCAGCAACCTTATTGCTGTGAGGCAACAGTGCTAACCATTGAGCCAGTGTCATGCCAAAGTTAAATAAATAAAATGGATTATGCTATTATTTTGACAGTTTCCCAAGTGAAACGTGGCTTCTGATTAATATTTAATAAGCATATTCTGTTAAAACGGAGGATCTGCTGGCTAGATCATGAATATTAATGTATGGTACTTGTGTTTTAGGCATACTTGAACCCAATAGCTGCTGCCAGAGCCAGAGGACCTGCACCCACCTCCGGCACCACCATTCAGGATTATCTCAGCAGACCACGACCATCATGGTGCAGATATATGATGACTGTGACTGAAATATGAGGAATTCCTTCATTGTGAATGTGTGATGTTTATGTGCATTTGCTTTGTACATCAGGGAGGAGGTGAAAGAACAGTTGGAAAAGAAAAGGAAAGGCTCCAGAGCCCTGGCTGATTTTGAGGACAAGATGAACGCGGTACAGACTTGGGTTTAGTTTGTTTTTCATTTGCAATCCATTCAGATCGAGTGTTTTACGTGAGTGATATGTGCTTTTAATTCTTTTCCAGCGATGGAAGAAGGAACTGGAGAAAAACAGGGAGAAGGTGCTTGGGGGAGGTGATAAGAAAGAAAAAGAAAAGGAGAAAGACAAGGAGAAGGAAAAGAAGGAGGTATGATGTGTTACAGTCATTTGTAATACCACTAGAGATCGATTCTGATGTTCATGGGTAGCAACAGGTGTTGAACGTGGGATTCAAATCATGAGTTATAAATGGAAAAAATGATGATCAGAATGTTAAATTTGTAATTCAGACTATTTTTATTTTTTTTTATCATACATGTACTAGTTTATATAAGGGCAAATTTAATAAGAATTATTAATTAAAATAAGAATTTATAAAAATAAGAAAGTAAGACATTGAAAGGCTATTTAAGGATAACAATACAGCAGCAGCAGAAAAAACTACAAAACTAAAAAAAAAAAAAAAAAACACACACTCACCGGCCACTTTATTAGGTACACCTTAATAGTACTGGGTTTGCCTTCAGAACTGCCTTAATCCTTTCTGGCATAGATTCAACAAGGTACTGGAAATATTCCACAGAGATTTTGGTCCATATTGACATGATAGCATCATGCAGTTGCTGCAGATTTGTCGGCTGCACTTCCATGATGCAAATCTCCGCCTCCACCACATCCCAAACATGCTCTATTGGATTGAGGTCTGGTGACTGTGGAGGCCATTTAAGTACAGTGAACTCATTGTCATGATCAGGAAACCAGTCTGAGATGGATACCGATTTATGACATGGCGGTTATCCTGCTTTAAGTAGCCATCAGAAGATATGTACACTGTGGTCATGAAGGGAAGGATATGGTCAGCAACAATACTCAGGTAGGCTGTGGCATTGACACGATGCTCAATTGGTATTAATGGGCCACATTACACCACCACCAGCAGCCTGAATCGTTGATGCAAGGCAGAATGTATCCATGCTTTCATGTTGTTGACGCCAAGTTCTGACCCTACCATCTGTATCTTGCAGCAAAAATTGAGACTCAGAGCAGGCAACGTTTTTCCAATCGGGTATTGTCCAATATTAGTGAGCCTGTGTGAATTGTAGCCTGACAGGAGTGGCACCCGGTGTGGTCTTCTGCTGGTGTAGCCCATCCGTCTCAAAGTTGGAGTTGTTGTGCTTTCAGAGATGCTTTACTACATACCTCAGTTGTAACGAGTGGTTATTTGAGTTACTGTTGCCTTTCTATCAGCTCCAACCAGTCTGGCCATTTTCCTCTGACCTCTATCATCAACAAAGCATTGTTGCATTGTTGATGACACAGAACTGCCGCTCACTAGATATGTTTTCTTTTTTGGACCATTCACTGTAAACCCTAGAGATGGCTGTGCGTGAAAATCCCAGTAGATTAACAGTTTCTGAAATACTCAGCCCGTCTGGCACCAACAACCATGCCACGATCAGTCACTTAAATCACCTTTCATCCCCATTCTGATGCTTGGTTTAAAATGCAGCAGATCATCTTGACCATGTCTACATGCCTAAATGCACCGAGTTGCTGCCATGTGATTGGCTGATTAGAAATTTGCGCTAACGAGTAGTTGGACAGGTGTACCTAATAAAATGGCCGGAGAGTATGTGTGTATATATTGTAAAATTTTAATTCTTCAGATATTTCTCAAGTGATGTTTAACAATGCAAGGAAAATTTTCACATTATTTCCCATTATATATTTATATTTATTATATATATATTTATATATTTACTTTTTCTAGAGAAAGGCTTTTTTCTTTAAGGTTGGCTGCATTAATAATTACAAAAATATTTAAATACTTCTAAGGTTGTGGTTATTGGCCTGTTTTATTTAATTATTTATTTTTTTATTGGCTACAGAACAAACAACTGTTGTCCAATGACTAATTAACCTAAATTGACTAATCTGAATAACTCAATTAAGCTGAACTTTAAACTGAATATTGGTATCTTGCAAAATAGATGTTAAAATTTTATGCATGTCATCATGGCAAAGACAAAATTAATAGATTATTAGAAATTAGTTATTAAAACTGTTATGTTAAAAAGTGCATTAAAAATCTGTTAATCGGCACTTTAGAAATATTTTAAGAATAAAAAAATCTCTCAGCATGGCTAATAACTTAGTCTTCAACTATATATGTGTTTATATTTAAATTAGAGCAGGTTTGATGTAAAACAGTGGTTTGAAAGATGGTAACAAATTCTAAAGATTTCAAATGACAATTAATCCTTATTTTGGTCCGGCTGCACAGTGATCCCTAAATGTCATCATATGATTCATTTTAATTATATTATATTACATTTAAATTACATTTTGGCGGCTGTCTTCTGTAAACCAAGGTGGAAATGTTAGTTTTGCACCATTCCACATGCTGTATTGCATTCCTGTTGTTTTGAGGTTTTTTCACCTGCAAACAGACACTTTATAAATCATTTACTGGATCATTTTAGGAACTGTTGTGTGTTTATTTTTAGGATTTTTCTGGGTACATCTTGATAAATGCGGTCTCTGTTTTGATTATAAACACCTTGCCTATGATTCATTGATATTTTGTCTTTGCGTTTTCCAGAAAAAGAAGAAAGAGAAGAAGAAGTCCAGTAGGGTGAGGAGAGCTCTCCATTTTCATATCTTGTGAAACACTAAAAAGCAATAGTTAATTGATAATAAAAACGTTGAATACTGGTATCATGTAACGCCACGTATAAGAAGAGAAGTGTTCCAATATGACGTACTTAGCCTGTTATCCAAGGGTCACCAAATCAGTTTCAATTGACTTATAGTCTAACAAATTCTGCTTTTGTTGTGTTTGGTCAAGCATTCCTCATCTTCCTCCTCCTCATCATCGAGTTCTGATTCCTCCTCCAGTTCCTCCTCAGATGCTGAAGACGATGTGAGTCTTGCTAATTATGTCACTTTATGTTTGTATGCAATGTTATAATGGCCATCTGAATAATCTCCCATTTGCTGCCTTTTCAGGATGAGAAGAAAAATCTAAAAAAGAAGAAAAAGAGAAAACGATCCTCAACCCGGAAAGCGTCTGATGAGACTGACTCCGAGTCTGAGACTGATAGCAGGGTATTGATGGGTTTATATTTACACGGAAAATAATTATATGATTTAAAAAGAATTCTTCTTGCTCAATATAAAAATGATGTAGGATTGAAGACAACATTAATTCAAATGTTTTTCTCATAATCTTTTCAAATATTTTGCCAACAACATATATATATATATATATATATATATATATATATATATATATATATATATACATACATACATACATACATACATACATACATACATATATATATATATATAGGACAGTAAGGTCTGACTTTGCTTAGACAAAAGTCTTGTCACTTAACAGAAATAATTTGCAGTATAATATATAAAGTCAGTGTGCAGTGGACACAAAATTAATATCGTGTATGACTCCCAAGAGCTTGGAGGACTGCATCCATACATCTCTGCAATGACTCTAATAACTTGTTATTAAAGTCATCTGGAATGGCAAAGAAAGCGTTCTTGCAGGACTCCCAGAGTTCATTAAGATTCTTTAAATTTACCTTTAATGCCTCCTCCTCCATCTTACCCCTACCATGCGCAATAATGTTCATATCTGGTGACTGGGCTGGCCAATCCAAGAGCACCTTGATCTTCTTTGCTTTCAGGAACTTTGATATGAAGGCTGCAGTATGAGGAGCGCTATCCTGCTAAAGAATTTGCCCTCTCCTGTGGTTTGTAATGTAATGGGCAGCACAAATGTCTTGATACCTCAGGCTGTTGATGTTGCCATCCACTCTGCAGAGCTCTCAAACACCCCTATACTGAATATAACCCCAAACCATAATTTTTCTTTTACCAAACTTAGCTGATTTCTGTGAAAATGTTGGGTCCATGCGGGTTCCAATAGGTCTTCTGCCGTATTTGTGATGATTGGGATGCAGTTCAACAGATGATTCATGTGAAAAATCTACCTTCTGCCACTTTTCCAAATGATCAACTAAAAGTCAAGTTATTATTTGTTGCTCTTACATATGGGGTCGATGACAAGGCTTTTGTCAGGTCGTGTAGTAACCTAATATATCTAGTAAACCTAATTAACCTAGTGGTTAAGTTTTTAAGTTACACTTAGCTGAACACTAGTACCTTGCAGAATATCTAGTAAAATATTATATGCTGTCATCATGGAAAAGACAAAATCATATCATCTAGTCATTAGAAACGTAGTTATTAAAGCAAATGATTTCTCCGTTAAACGGCACTTGGGAAATATTTAAAAAATAGTTCATTTCACAGGAGGGCTGTAATTATTTTGTGTTTAATTGTATTACACATTACTCTAACCTGGTGGGTTTTCTGAAAATTACAGTGTTGATTTGCCTACATGAATATTCAATTTACACTGCAGAGTTGAAAACTGAAAATGGAAACTGAATTGCTGGTTATAATGAAGATGTTTTTCAAGACTTGCCCTGATGCTTTTTATTTTTAGGAGTCATTCAAGAAAAAAAGGAAGAAAACAGATGGAGAGAAAGATAAGGTACAAATGCATAACCTTCACCTTGATGTCATTCCAAAAATAAGTTTTGCTTTTTATTTATATATACTGTTAAAGTCCAGTTATTAGCCCCCCTTTAATTCTTTTTCTTTTTTAAATATTTCCCAAATGATGTTTAACAGCGCAAGGAAAGTTTCACAGGATGTCTGATAATATTTTGTTTTCAGGAGAAAGCGTTATTTGTTTTAGTTTTTAATTTTTTTAGCACATTTTAAGGTCAAAATTATTAGCCCCTTTAAGCTATATATATTTTTTCCGATAGTCTACAGAACAAACCATCATTATACAATAACCTGCATTATAACTCTAACCTGCCTAGTTAATCAGCCTTTAAATGTCACTTTAAGCTGTATAGAAGTGTCTTGAAAAATATCTAGTCAAATATTAATTACGATCATAATGGCAAAGATAAAACAAAACTATTAATTAGAAATGTGCTGAAAAAAATCTCTGTTAAACAGAAATTGGGGAACAATTAGGGGTGCTAATATTTCAGGGGCGCTAATAATTGTGACTTCAACTGTATATATTTTTGTAGTTTCATAGTACCAGATCTGTAAATGTTCAAAAAAGATTTTATGAGGCAGAATCATGACCGATATTGTTTTTTCATACGGATGTTTGTACAAACAACCAAGCACCAAATGTGTGTAAAAAACAAATACAGGTGTGTGTGTGTGTGTGTGTGTGTGTGTGTGTGTGTGTGTGTGTGTGTGTGTGTGTGTGTGTGTGTGTGTGTGTGTGTGTGTGTGTGTGTGTGTGTGTGTGTGTGTGGAAGGGTGTTACTCGGTTGCCTCATTTTTATTATTTTAAAAATTTCTATATTTGAAATTTGCAAAGTTTGGGGAATTTAGACTTGATCCTAAGTGACAGTAAAAAAAACAGTATTTAAGATTGCAACTTGTTGATAATTAATCAGAATGTTTTTTAAATCAGGAACTTATAATGATTTAGTGAGACTGAAGACTAAAATACTGATGTTAAATTAAGCTTCGCTTCGCATTGCATTCATGAATCAAATTTGTGATCAATTTTTCAGTTTTTATTTCATCAAATGGTAAGTGTAAGAAACTCGATACAGATCTTCGTCTATCATAAATTAAATGTTTTGTTTGAAAGGACGAAAAGGACTCTCGAAAGAAGAGGAAAGCTGAAAGAAGTCAGTCCGAGTCTTCTGACGAGTCTGATGTAGACAAAGACGTAAGAGTTTGTTTAAAACCTCTGTGGTTTTAATGTGTCACCAAATCAGATTAGCACAGCAAATAACATGTGACATGCAAAACTCATCTGCGAATGTGTTTGTTTTTTAGGCTGACTCCAAAAAGAAGAAACATAGTAGTGAAGAGAAGGAGAAAATTACAGTAAGTCTTTATTAAAGAAACACTCCACATTTTTGCAAATAGGCTCATTTTACAAATCTCATAGAGTTAAATGGATGAGTTTTACCTTTGAGTCCATTCAAGTGATCTCTGCATATGGTGAATACACTTTTAGCTTAGCTTAATCATTGAATCGGATTAGACCATTAGCATCTGGCTTTTAAGAAAAAAAGTTAAAAAAATTTTTTTAAAAAATTGATAATCTTCCTATTTAAAACTTGACTCTTCTGTAGTTAAATTGTGTATTAAGAAAAAAGTAACTTTTTTTAGGCTGATATACATAGGAACTACACTCACCGGCCACTTTATTAGGTATATCTTACTAGTACCGCCTTCAGAGCTGCCTTGATCCTTTGTGGCATAGATTCAACAAGGTACTGGAAATATTCCTCAGAGATTTTGGTCCATATTGACATTATTGTATCACGCAGTTGCTGCAGATTTGTCGGCTACACATCCATGATGTGAATCTCCCATTCAACCACATCCCAAAGGTGCTCTATTGGATTGAGTTTCGGTGACCGTGGAGGCCCTTTGAGTACAGTGAACTTCGTTGTTGATGGCAAATTTTGACTCTACCATTTGAATGTCGCAGCCTTAATCGAGACTCATCAGGCCAGGCAACATGTCTCCAATCTTTTATTGTCCAATTTTGGTGAGCCTGTGTAAATTGTAGCCTCAGTTTCCTCTTCTTAGCTGACAGGAGTGGCACCCGGTGTGGTCTTCTGCTGCTGTAGCCCATCCGCCTCAAGGTTGGACGTGTTGTGCATCCGAGATGCTCATTAAGAGAGTGGTTATTTGAGTTACTGTTGACTTTCTATCCGCTCATTCTCTTCTAATCTCTGTCATCAACCAGGCGTTTGCGCCCACAGAACTGCCACTCACTGGATATTTTCTCTTTTGCAGACCATTCTCTGTAAACCCTAGAGATTGTTGTGTGTGAAAATCCCTGTAGATCAGCAGTTTCTGAAATACTCAGACCAGTCCGTCTTGCACCAACAACCATGCCACATTCAAAGTCACTTAAATCATTCTTTTCCCCCATTCTGATGCTCAGTTTGAACTGCAGCAGATCATTGGTGATTGGCTGATTAGAAATTTTTGTTAACAAGCAGTTGACCTGTTAGCGTATATGCTCATTCTCGTATATAATGATTAAACTTTCCTGCCATACCATGGCTGCAGCACGTGCAATGATAGGACATTGGCTGAATGCATAAAAATGGTAAAACTCAACAGTTTTAACTGTTTAAAGAAGTATAAAATGAGCCTATTACCAAAAAAAGTGCAGTGTTCATTTAAAGCGGATCATTGATGTGTGATTTGCCCAAATGAATGTGTAAATGTCTGAATGTGCTACCCGCACCACTCGCAGTAATGTTATCAGCAGTGGATTCACAAAACAGAACTTCATGATTGCTTTTTGTATTTACAGGATAAGTCTAAAAAGAAAAAGAAAAAGAAGAAGCATAAGAAACACAGCAAAAAGAAAAAGAGGAAGACCTCCAGCTCGGAGTTGGACTGAAGGTGCTAGCGGCGGCTGGATTTGTGAATGGTAACGGAAAAGACAGAGCTCTTGACAGACAGTGGAGAAATAAATCCATCAGAAAGCTGTCCAAGTGACTCTTAAAAGTGGGTGCTCTTTAGCATCGTGCAGCTGTAGTGGAGACTGGGATGAGAGGATCGTGGCGGGGGTGTTGAACAGGGCGTGGGGTTCATTACGTCAGGTTTGTGTTTGTTTTTTAAGCAGATGATTCTCAGTCCAAATAAAGACCATTTACACATCATCAGCGGCTCTGTGTTCAGTATCTGTGTCCTGATGAGGGTGGGAGTTGCTGCTGGTGGCAGTCGATTTGCATTAGATGTATTTAGAAAGCTAGTTTTTCGCCTTCGGAGCTGGCTAGGGTTTACTTTCTGTGACGTGTGACAGTGCACAGAACAACTAATAAATAAATGTATAAAGTAGTCAACATTTATAGTGGATCAAAAAGTTTTCAAAATTGTCTTTTTATATATATATATATATATATATATATATATATATATATATATATATATTTTTTTTTTTTTTTTTTTATTTATTTATTTTTTTTATGAGCTATGAATGTAGCTTTACAAACTGCACAGAAAACAATATATGATTTGTTTATTATAACATGGTAGTATTACGCAGTTGAAGCACATTGGTCAAACAGCTTAGGCAAATCTGGCACAAATACAGAAATGGATATACAGATCATTCTGGAAGAGCAGTGTAAAATATTCAAATGAATACAATTACTATTCCATGACCAGAAGTTGTTGTACCACCAAAGGTCTGCTCTTTTAAATTGATCTAATGACTGGAGCCCATTTGAGTTTAATGAACTCACTATCATGTTCAAGAAACCAGTTTGAGATTGAGCTTTGTGACATGGTGTGTTGTTAAAATCAAAAGATGGGCACACTGTGGTCATTAATGGATGAACACTGTCAGGATAATTTTCAGGTAGGTTGTGGAATCAAAACAAAGCTTAATTAGTATTAAAGGGTTTGTTCACCAAAAAATTAATTGAATGATTATGATACTAATTAATCACCCTCATTTCATTTCAACCCCGAAGACCTTTGCTCATCATCGGAACACAAATGAAGATATTCTAGATGAAATCTGAGAGCTTTCCATTTACATCAAGATTCCTGACTCATTCAAAGTCCATAAAGGTACTAAAAACATCATCAAAACAGACCATGTGTTTTCACTTGTTCAATTTAAATATTATTAAGCTACAAGAATATATTTATGAGCACATTAAACAGAAAAAATTGAATGAAAAAAAAATTCTCAGTATAGGGTGCACGTCCACAAGCCCTGATGCCTATACTGACACGGAGGAGAAGGAACTGTTAAATAAAGTCTTTATTTTTGTTTAATGTGTGCATGAAAATATTCTTGTAGCTTGAAAATATTGCTTCTTCTTTGTTCTGATGCACACTTTGAGCATGCCTAAATACACTTTCGCTGCTGTGAGATTGAATTGAACGATTAACAAAAAGGAGTTTTTACTAAAGTTGCCTGCGATTTGTATGTTACTTTAAAATGACTGAATCTGACCTGTAATTAAGGAGTAAATCACCATTTTTTGGTGGGTAAAAACTGAAACTTACACTGAAAAAAAATGACTTTGAATGTGGTGTGGTTGTTGGTGCCAGACGGACTGGTCTGAGTATTTCTGAAACTGCTGATCTACTGGGAGTTTCACGCACAACCATCTCTAGGGTTTACGGAGAATGGTCAGATAAAGAGAAAATATCCACTGAGCGGCATTTCTATGGGTGCAAATGCTTAGTTTTTGTAATATTTTGTTTTATTTAACATTTTTTATAAGAGTTTTAACAAACACAGTACAATACCAATAAAAAAATACAATACAAAATAATTGACATTAGCCCCATCCCACCCCCTCAAAAAAAAAAAAGGGGGGGGGGGATCGTCTCAGTTATCAAATATACCTAAATATATACATGACATATGTAGCATAAACAAATTTAAAAAAGATGACAGTATTCACATTTCTACAAAGTCAGTGTCATGAATATATGAGTTAGCGATGAAAATCTCTTAAAATAGTTCCCCATGTGGTTTCAGCTTTTTTCTGTGAAGTTTCAAGACGTAGTCGTGCCATTTGAATGACATAAAGCAGCTCATTCAACCATCTCTTAAAACAGGGAGCCTTTTCCAATTAAGTAAGATCATCTTGCAAATGCCTTGTTGATCAAATCACGCAAATCATCTCAGAGTGGTTTCTTGAACATGACAATGAGTTCACTGAACTCAAAAGGCCTCGACAGTCACCAGATCTCAATCCAGAAGAGCACTCACAGGAGATTCACTGGAAATTCACATCATGGATGTGCAGCCGACAAATCTGCAGCAACTGCGTGATGCTATCATGTCAATCTCTCTGAGTGATGTTTCCAGGACCTTGTTGAATCTATGCGACAAAGGATTAAGGAAGTTCTGAAGGCAAAAAGTGGGTCCAACCCGGTACTAGTAAGGTGTACCTAATAAAGTGGCCGGTGAGTGTACTTTGCATTCATCAGAAAACCCTGTGTCTGTCTCTAGTTTGAGTGTGTGTTCAATAAGGTTTTGTGCTGCGATCTGACACTGTATTAAAGCTGAGTTTCTCTGCAGTGAGTCTGTATCGGTGAGAGTCTCTGGGCCTCAGGCGGACAGCAGTGTTTTGGGAAGCTCGTCCAGGTGTGTGTGTGTGTATGTGTGTCCTAATGGCTTATGGGCGGAGCCTCTATGAGCTTCTCTCATTTCCCTGGCAAATACTGTCACCAGTTCCCTTTTCTTGTCACACAGCTTCTACAGATTATATAGCTCAAATGGAATGTGTTGAAGTCACCATGATCCTGCTGATATGCAGCTTATTTGTCATAATATCTGGTAAGAGGATGTTTATTTCTTTCTGAATGTCTTGCAAGAGCAAAACATTCAGCATTTTTACTACGATGCTTTCTAAAAATGTATATATATAAGTTTGGCCAAGAGGTCAAATGAGTGTTATTTATATAAATACATTCCCAGAGTTAAAAAAAATTACAGTTAAATTAATGCCATTTGAAGTGTGTACATATATATGCATATCATTTGCACTTAGGGAAGTAGATGGAGGGATACTTTGGGAAAAATGGTTGAATTTTTTTATATTACCAACTTCCTGTTTGTGTAACTTGATTTTTAGAATAAAAATAAATAAACAAAGTGAGACTTGAACTTGTGACAGTGAAACTGTGGTTTGGTTTTAGTTCTGGAATAGTCAGGTGATTACTTCCTACATGGGAAAAATTCGCTTCCACCTTTTATTTTTGGTCATACGTATAACATGATTAAAAATATATCATTATTTTAAATCCTTACAAATATTTATTATTTTTAAATCGATTAATTACGACAGTTCAAAAGTTTTTGTTGCGACTTTAATATGTTTGTCCTTAAATTATGTTCGGTTACACTTTATTTTGATGGTCCATTTGAGTATTAATAGACTGTGTGCTTAATATGCTGATACTGCTCCTTCAACAGACATTAAACTGAATATAAGAAACTTTGTATGTACATTTCAACTAACAGTCTACTTATGATCTTATGAGAATTAGTTGCAATGTAACTTAAATTCAACAAACCGTCCATCAAAATAAAGTGTCCCCTTATGTTCCTTTATATTGCATATAAAAATCTGGCACAATTTATATTACTTTTAAAACTTAAAATTCAAATGTTTTAAAAACACTTTTACAAAATTATGTTTTATGGAAACACTTTAGTGCCATTTTATATATACATTTTAATTAGATCTTTTTACAATCATTAAATATTTTTGGCATTCAATAATAATTACATTTTGTTTAGAAATGTGTGCTTTTATGTGCTAAATTACATTTTGAACCTTTTAATAATGGTCATAATACAAAAAAATGTAAATAAAATAGTCTATCCTATAACATAATGAACTATATATTTAAAATATTAAAACAAAAGTCATGTGTGTGTGTGTGTGTGTGTGTGTGTGTGTGTGTGTGTGTGTGTGTGTGTGTATATATATATATATATATATATATATATATATATATATATATATATATGTACAGTGCTCAGCATATGAATACACCTTTCACAAATTTCTCATTAAAATTAATATTTTCTATAGGGAGCTTTACAATATTATATTTGTGCACATACATTAGTTTAGTTAGTACCGAAAGCCCAATCGGGAGCTTTATCTAACAAACTAATGGTTAAAAAATGAGCAGGCCAAAGTTATTTGTTAGGGAAAAATATTGAATAAACTTTTCAAAAATAGCTAAAATCAAGAGAAACAAAAATATATATACAATTTTGTTGAAATGTTGTAGCTTGTTTTTTTTTTTTTTTTTGTGCAATATTTTCCATGAACTGAAAAAGTTCAAGTTTGAGATCCACTGGTCTAATGCAAATTAAACTAGTCTGTAATGAAAGTTAGTCTGTAATGAGAGCTTATTTTCTCCATATAGCACAATAGAACCAATTGTGTTCTGCGGCACATCAGCTAGAAGTTCATTCATTCATTTTCTTGTCGGCTTAGTCCCTTTATTTATCTGGGGTCGCCACAGCGGAATGAACCGCCAACTTATCCAGCAAGTTTTTACGCAGCGGATGCCCTTCCAGCTGCAACCCATTTTGGATTGTGGGGGAAACCGGAGCCCCCGGAGGAAACCCACGCGAACGCAGGGAGAACATGCAAACTCAACACAGAAACGGCAACTGAGCCGAGGATCGACCCAGCGACCTTATTGCTGTGAGGCGAACGTGCTACCCACTGCGCCACTGCGTCGCCTCAGCTAGAAGTAAATTAATTCAAATTAAATACAACGTCCAAGCCAAATGCGCTGCTAGTCATCATAACTGTGACTTAATAATAACATTAATAACATTTATTTTAACCAGGTTAGTCGATTGAAAACCAGTTCTCATTTACAACGACAACCTGGCCAAGAGGCAACATTAAAAGCAGATATGAAAGAGCAGGGACGCAATACAATAACAATTTCACAAATGCAGATAATAGCATATAAAACCAGGGAACAACTAAAAACAGGCACTGTGATCTTGTACTATTAACTGGATTGAATTTTGTGAAGGATGATAGTGGAATGAAAGTGTTGAGCTTTAGATGATTCCAGGCATCAGCAGCAGAAAACTGAAAAGAGTGGCGACCAAATGGGTATACAGAGGTTAATAAATCTACTAGAGCACAGATTT